GGGGCCGGCAGCACAGCAGGCCTACTCGTCCAACTCCTATAACCCATTCCTGCAACAACCCTCCCAAGGATATGTTCAGCAACAGGCCCCTCAGCAACAACCGCAGCAGCAACAAAACTACGGCTATCAGCAAAATCCTTGGAATCAACAACAGCAAAACCTGGAACAATCCTTTCAGGGTATGCAAATCTCAAACCCACAGCCTCCGCAACCTCTGTTCCCGAACCGAACAGGAGGAGCTGAATCCCAACCTTCGTCGTTCCCTCAAACGAACCCCTACAACCAATCCTTCACTCCACCGCCGATGCCACAAATACCCGAACAATACAGTGCTTTCTTTGCACCGCAACAGCCGCAGTACCAATCCATGTCCAACCCCTCAAGTCCCGGGAACCCCTTCTTGAGATCTTCGCAAAGCCAAATGTTTACCCCGACCAATCTTGCAAGCTCAAATCCATTCGGGCAGTCAACATTCCAGCAGCAACAGCAGTCTCAACCGCAGTCGGCTCACCCACAGTCGGCTCCACCACAGCAGCAGATGCCTAATCCTTGGTCGCAGCAGCAGCAGTCATCTCAATCACAGATAGCTTCCTCGCAGCAGCAGATGCCTAATCCTTGGTCACAACAACAGCAACAGCAGCAGCAGCAGCAACAGCAGCAACAGTATAGCCAGGGTTCCACTCCTCAGACGGCGAATCCTTGGCAACCCCAACAATCGACCTATCAAACCCAGGATCCAACTCAAAACTACCAAGCTCAGCAACAAAGTTTCCAGAACCAGCAGCAGCTATATCAACAACAAAGCTCTAATCCCTTCGACAAAAATGCTTCAATCCTCTCGCTGTACAACCAGCCTCAACAGGCTACCCAGCAAGCGCCACAGCAACAAGCTCAACCAACAGCTGTGCAAGCTTCAACTCCTGTTGCGCAAGCACCCGGGCGCTCAAATCCGTTTGGTGGTATGTCCGGTGCGCCACAAGGGCAAGCACTATCCGCTGCACAAACACCTGGCATTAGGCATGTCAGCAACGAGAGCGTGGACTTTGCGGGTTTGATGGGTGGACGGCATTCGCCTGACGCTTTCTCAGGCTTGAGTGCGAGCTTTAGGCGGTAGACGGGCAGAATTCCAATGCACAATATTTTGGAAATGTGCGCAACTGGCTAGAGCAATTTTTCTTTGTTGATACTTTTGGTTTTAAGGAAGTGTGGTATTGGATATCAGAAAGAAGAGTAGGTAGTTGTAGTGAGACCGACGAGAGTGTAGGTAAGGTTTGCTGTATGATACCTAGCAAGGAGGTGCGCTGCACCACCTTTACATTAATTATTATCTCATTCTACATCCTTACAAATTGAAATCTGCACTGGCTCAAACCTAAGCAAGTCAACTTGTATGCTCTGCTTTCACTCGTTGCAAGAGCTGGCTCAATTTTCTTACTGCGTATGTACTTTCAATCTATCAGACGTCTGGACCCAGGGCTTTACAATCCAGAACTTGGCGACAAGCCATGTATGGCTGTCGAAATTCAAATGTTTTGGGGCACACGGATAAGCTGTGTTCACGTGCAAACGTGAAGCCACTGTGGCTAGACCTCTCGCGTCTACGTCATTGCTCTGAGCCGCGTACCTGACCCTGAACCACCCACCACTCTTCGTATCAACCTGCCTCCTCACTTGTCCAAATCTTGCTTCTTGATTTAGCCACCTATTCAGTCCTCAATTCGACCATAATAGCTCTTCAAGCAACATATCAAGCCTTCCAGCTCAGCCAGCACCATGGGTGAGATACATAGCAGCCTGGTAATCTAACTTCAACTAATTTCGAGCAGCTCCCCCAGCAGACTATTGTAGGCGCGCATAGCTTCGCGGCCCTTGGTTCCAAGCTCATACAATACCACAGACAAGGTCCTAGAAGTCGACTCAAAGGCGACTCAGCAGCAAATCCGTGATGCCTACAAGAAGTGCACCTCACCCCTCCTTACAAACTTCTTTGCACAAATCCTAAAATACTCCACAGAGCAGCGCTAAAACATCACCCCGATCGTGTTCCATCTGATTCTCCTGAGCGCGCAAGTCGTACGAAGCGCTTCCAGCAAATCAACGACGCCTACTACACGTTATCGGACCCCACGCGACGCCGCGACTATGACGCTGCACGTACCTACAATAGCTTCACAGGCAGCACCGCAACACCAGACGAGGAATTTGACGAGGAAATTCCCAACAATGCAGGCGCAGGCGCAGGTTTTGCCCAAGGCTTCCCGTGGTCCGCATTCGGCTTCGGCAGCGCTCCAGCCGGCAACACAGAAGAGTCGCACAACCGCTTCTCTGAAGAGCAGTTTGGCGGTATCTTTGAGGAGATGTTACGGGAAGAGGGCATGGCAGATCAGGATGCGCATCCTACGGGCAAGTTCTGGAGTATTGTGGGTGGTCTGAGTGGAGGCGCCATGGGTTTTATCGTAGCAAACTTCCCTGGCATGGTCGCTGGCGCTGTTGCTGGAAACAGGCTAGGAGCTGTAAGAGACACAAAGGGGAAGAGTGTTTATGCGGTTTTCCAGGAGATGCCGCAGGCAGACAAGGCGAGGTTGCTGAGCGGGCTCGCGGCCAAGGTTTTTGCTAATGTCGTGTCTGGTTGATGGGGCATCAAGAAAAAGGGAGGCATGAAGCGATGGGTTTACATGGGCTGTATGACTGACGATATCCTTGAGAGTTTCTTTGGTAACTTTTCACCTTTTGCTTAGAACGAGAAGTATTTATGACACATAAACTCCGTGTTGTCACTGATTCTCATGCTTATAAAGTGAATAGAGATGTATGAAGAAAGTATGTTTGTATCTGCATCTGAACGCCATGTAGGTCTAAGCCTACGCAAAGGAGGGATATCTCTAATAAATAACATGAAAGGCCCAAAATAAAAAGAGGAGAAAGCGTGGTGGGAATGCCAACACACGCTTCTCCTCATGCTGTCGTAACGTCGTGCCACAACAAAACAAAAATGCCGCCTTTTACCAGGTGTGACAACCAAGATCCCACCTCTTCCTCATTTCCTCATGTCACCAATCATTCCTACTCCCTGTGAGATTCCCCACGACCCTCGTGATAGTAAAGATATTCTCAACCGTTCCTAGAAGAAAGAGGCGTCAGCCTCCCTTCCGCTTTACATGAACTTGCTTGCCATACTCGCCAAGTTAGCCAGCCCACCGATTCCACCTGCTACACTCTGCATGTCGATATTGCCAAGTCCCGCCATCATGCCTCCGCCACCATTACTCGGGCCGCTTCGGCTGCTTTCCATGCCATATCCCTGACTACCGTAGTAGCCGCCACTGGCACCTCCACTGCTGCTGTGGTGACCAGAGCCCGAGTACCCGCCTCTTGCTCCCTGTCCACCCATCTCGGGTAGGTTGACACCGAACTGGCGAGCAAGTTTATGGAGGACACCGCCAGAGACGAGCGGCATGATGACCATGAAGAAGACTTTGTAGGGATGGCGTTGAGCGTAGCGCCAGATTTCTCGGAGAAAATGTTGTAGTTTTTTGTAGAGGTGTTGCATGTACGAGTCGCGGGGTGAGCGCTTGTACCGCGATGTTGAGCTGTGGTGGCGCGATGAAGAAGAGTAGGACGAGGAAGCGTAGCCGGGGCGGTAGGATGATGAGCGTCGTGAGGGCGAGCCCGTAGAAAAGGGGTTCCAACTGCTACCCATGGTGTTTGGTTGTGTGGCGTCGGAAGATGATATGAGTAGAGTTGGTTTTGGGAGGAGTGAGGCTGTAAGTGGTGTTGACGATCCCCTGGGGTTGTTTGTTGATCGCGATGTATGTGCGCGAACGACAGATGTCGGGATGCGATGGTGCAATGTGTACTTGGACGCCCAGCGCATTCAGCGCAAAGTATGTTGATATGGTATTTGCGTGTGGATGAGGTTTGTCGACAACAATGACTATGACTGTGAGTCTTGTGCCAGCGCAACGACGTCCAGGGTTTAGAAGAGCTGTCGCAACAAAAGTCCGGTGAAGGGAGTGGGTCTCTTGGGCTTCAATCGCCTCCTCTTCGCCTCATTTACAGAGGTTTTCCCTGCTTCCTTGCCCTGCGTTGCCTGATGAGGCCCTACCAATCAACTAGATCGGAGCGCGCAACCCAACTCTCAAACTGCTATGACAACACTGGCCACCGTGCGCGAAACAGAATATAGAAATGACTAGTAGGGAACACGTCAACGGGTAGAAAGACCACAAAATATGGCACGGTTGGGGAATGCGGCGGGCTTGCTGGTGAAGGAAGGAACTTTGGCCAGCTTAAAGATGTGCGCGAACTTGTGGAGCTGAGAGGAGTGATCGTCGCAGCTACCAGACCGCTCTTTGGTGGTTGGGCGGCCTGCGTAGCCCTGCAGGTACCGCCACCTCGATTTATGCCGACCCAGATGGCACTTGTGCAGTGCACGATGATGTGCGTGAACCATGACAATCACGTAGGTTATTCGTCTTTACGCGAGAAGGATGCTACGCAAATGGACGTTGAATTTCTTACATCAATATCGATTGATATCTGATACTGCTTCGAGATTCTTGACATGGTTGCGGACAGAGTTCTCCTTGTGCAACGGTCGTTTGTGCGCGCACCCCTGTGGCATAAGTGCCTGCAAGACCGTTGGAAATGTTCGAGACCCAGATGCAGATGCAGCACACGCAATATGGCATTCAACAAAACGTACTAAGGTCTGGATTAAGTCGGCCGACCCGTTCCTGCATACCCTTTTTCCCCGGTCGAGCCACGTTTGACGGATTGAGAGTCAGATCGAATGACTGTTATCGAACAACACACATCAGTGGAGAAAACAATACATATATGTATCAGTACAACAGAATAACAAAGGGCCCACCACATACGTGGCCGTCTTTTACGCCCTGTATCTCATGCAATGTCTACGAAAGCAATAATCAATTGGATCACAATTACCAAAACCAAGAGCAAGGGATATCTGTCATGATCGATTAGAGCACAATGCTTTATCCTTTCTTCCTACTTTTACCACTCTTCCGCCGTCTTTCTCCATGCCCACCGCCACTGGCTCTCGTAGCTTCCTGAGCTTGAACTGGAATAGCAGAACTTGATGCTGAAGGTGACAAAGCTGGGTCCGACTGGCCAACATGACTGGCCGCCACAGGTGCTGCTCGCTGAAGCGTCACTGACGCAGGAGCGGGAATAGGAACACGTCGCGGGACCGATGTATAGCTGGCCTCAGATACACCCGAACTCACTCTCCGTGTATACTGTGGTTGAGGCGAAGCTGTTGAGGAAGAAGACGCCGGACTGAAAGTATGGTACTGATAAGGCTCCACAGGAAACGGCACAAGTCCAGCAGACTGGATGGAAGACGATCTTGTGCGTGTGCCTTGTGGAAGATCAGCCTCGTAAGCAGCTTGCCGAGAGGATATAGAACGACCTTGCCGTGGAGGGGTAGCCGGGCGGTAATCATACTCGGATTCTGGAAAGGCGCCCAACATGTCCCGAGAGAAACTGGCATGCGAAAGCGGGGGAGTATGATGACTAGTATCAGATGCGGAACGGGACGCGGGACTTAAAGGCTCCCGTTCACGATCCAGGTTACCCTGGTAGGCATTGATGGGGGCATACATGGGCTGCCCGTCCGGGCCAGGTATAACGAAGCCTGGTGGCGGTGCACGACTATCTGTAGTGGATGTACGTTTGTGACTGCTGGACTTCTCCTTCTTCGACTTTGACCCGAAGATGGAACTCCGCTGCTGGTTCTTCTTCGACCTGGAGGAACTGCCGTGCTTGCTAGTCGTATCAACGCTGATCATACTTGCGGCATCGTGTGAAGAAGTATTGCTTGGTCGAGACTGGGGTTCAGGGCGAACTGCGGTCGATCTTGGGCCATAAAGTCTTGAGTGATACGCGTCTAGCTCCTCTGGGCTCAACGATACGTCTGTATTTCCTGCCGCTCTTGCTATCCGAATCTTATCGAGTACTCGTCGGAAAAGTACTTCTTCGTGTTCAGCAGAATTGACATTGTTGCCCATATCGTCAAGATAACCATCCTGATGGTCTGGCCGATATGCTGCCTCACCCAAAGCCGATGTCCTTCGCTCCCATGCTCTAATATCCATATCATTAAAGTATAGTTCATCTGGATTGATGCTCTTGCCATTTAAGGCCGGTTGGAACGCCTGACTTAATTCAACGCCACCCTTCTCGTCTTCACTATCCAATTCTTGAAACCTATGAACGTCGTCTTGCACTCCCTCGTAATATCTCCCCACACCCGACGAGCCCCCTGGTGGTCTTCCCCATGGGGGCATAGCGTAAGGAGTTCGCGGCCGACCACCTAGACCGCCTCCTCGGAAAAAGCTGACTCGATGGGCTTGTCCATGAATGCAGCATGGCCCACAACTGTGACACCAGTTGCGCCAATCAGCCAGAGAACTGTAGTAAAGGGCGAGGCCCAGAGTCCAAGAGGAATTGCAACGACGAAAAGCGTAGTGTACAGCTGAGAGGTAGTGGCACGCCAGCTACCGAGCTGGAGATCATTTCCCTCTAGTTTGCCGATTCCGAACATGCCACCAACTACGAGGCAGATGACGAAGAGAAGCATCAAGTTGGTGAGCAGACTGTAAATGCTGAGCATGACGAAAACAGCGGCATAGTTGCTCGAAAAGTAGCCCAAGTTGTAGTTAACCCTGCTCTGTACCTCGCTAAAGTTGGCGGGCTTAGAAACACGCTTGAAGTCGAAGAACTCGGAGATGGGTCGCAGATTGGCGAACCGAGAGGAGACGGAAGTGTTGCGTAGACCGTCGAAACGTCCACCGAGGTTCATCCTGGATGTCAGGGCATCGATGGGAATGCTAAAGCGCGACATGACGGATGGTGTGTTGGTTGTGGGTTGAGGGGCGGGTGATGCTTGCTGGCGTTGGTCGGGGGTAATGAGGGTCTGCTGTTGTTCTTCAAGATCTTTGGGGGAAGTCATGGTCAGTTCAGGCGCTGATAGTGGTGAAGAGATCGAGGGAAGGCTGGAGATGTGTCCTCTTGCCAGGAATGAGGTTGTAGTGTTTATAGTGGATGGCTGCCTTACGTTGGGGGAAAGATTCGCGAGAGAGTGAATAAGCTGACGCGGCTGAAGTGAGCGTAGGTGAAGTGGAAGTGGTGTGGGAGGAGAGGGTTGCGTGTCGCTGTCCGTATTGGAACTTTTGTTGGCCCCTGCCGCGAATTCCGTAGTTCAGGGTCGTGCCTGCCCATACAACACAGCCACAGAGCGCTCAACCCGTCAGCCCTGATCCCCTTAGCCGAGTCTCACATGCAAGTCCTGGAGAGGCCACATTTTTTGTTTCGAACTCGGCAGCTTGGGGTGAAAGCGGATAGCAAGAGCACCGGAAAAGGCTTCACTTTATCCCTCGAGCCTGCTACCATTGTGTCTCATTTGTAGCGGTCAGACCGATCGGGCCACGTTCCGTCTCTACAGCGGGCTCACGGCACTAGAACATCTGGCTGCACAGGCCTGCAGCCTCCCTATCACTTTGCTCCAAGACCCGCCAACTTTCCAGGCAACCTCCCGGATCAACCCCAGCCATGAGATCTCACGCGTTGCTCGCATTGGTCTTGTGCCTCTTTGCAGCATTCGCCGCTGCCTGGACCAAAGAGGGTGCGTAGCTTCTCCTGTCGTGTCTCGTCTTCCATTGCATGCTTGCGGCCACATATGCGCCTTCCCCACATGCCTTTCCCCAGCTCCAGCTACGAGCTACTTGCTGACAGTTTCCGGCAGACCACGAAATCTTCCGTATCCGTGACGAAGTGGCCAAAGCAGACGGCGCCAATGTCACCTTCTACGATCTCCTCGGTGTCAAGCCCAGCGCCTCCCAAGACCAATTGACCCAAGCCCTCCGCAAGAAGTCGCGCGAACTTCACCCGGACAAGGCCCGCAAGGTCTTTGTTGCCAACTATGCTAAGAAGAACAACAAGAAGAAGCCAACCAACAAGGAAATTGAGGCACACTTGAAGAAGGTCACCGCCGCCTACCAGCGTCTTTCCGTCGTTGGAAAGATGCTCAAGGGCGCCGAGCGCGAGCGCTACGACCACTTCCTGAGGAACGGCTTCCCAGCATGGAGGGGCTCTGGCTACTACTATGAGCGCTTCCGTCCTGGCCTTGGCTCAGTCATTGTCGGTCTACTCGCTGTGTTCGGTGGAGGCTTCCACTACTTCGCTCTGTTGATGTCATGGAAGCGTCGCAGGGAGTTTGCTGAGAGGTACATTCGCCAGGCACGCAAGACTGCCTGGGGTGATGAGAGTGGTCTTCAGGGCATCCCTGGAGTCGACGATACCGCCGCACCTGTCAACGCCGAACAGTTCGAGAAGGATTCTGCCGAGGATACACCAGAGGAGCTAGCCCCACGCAACCGTCGCGAGAGGCGCGCTATGGAGAAGGACGCTCGCAAGCCAAAGAAGGCACAAGCTGTGAAAAAGGCCCGCGCCGATGGCATCAGCACCCCCGTTGAGGCAGAGGTCATCTCTGGTCCTCAAGGAGCCAAGAAGCGCATCGTCGCTGAGAACGGCAAAGTCTTGGTCGTTGATTCCGTTGGTAATGTTTTCTTGGAAATTGAAAACGAGGATGGTATGAAGGGTGAATACTTGGTCGACGTACGTACATTCAACTCTTCGAGACATTCAATAAGCTAATAGCATACAGCCTGATGAGGAGCCTAAGCCTACTATCTACGACACCCTCCTGTTCAAGCTGCCCAAGTTTGCTTACAACCAGTCAGTCGGACGTGTCCTTGGAAAGAAAGAGATGATTGACGCTCCATTGCTTGAGACCTCTAATCTAACCGAGGAGGAGGCCGCCATCCAGAATGCCACCGCGCCCAACCTTAACGGCGAGGCAAGGAAACGCAAGGCCATGGCCAAGAAAGCAAGGGAACTGCTTGCGTGCGACATAGCATATGCTGTAATGTTACAAAAGTTTAGCATCTATGTTTGGTTGTTGGTAGACAAAAAGGGTACTGGACTATGCATGTGCGTGTAAGATACAGAGATAGACTACAATATGAGCCACGCAATGCGAAGAGCTTTGAGCACTCGCACCAAATGCCCTGTGTCGCCGAGATCTTTTCTACTCGTCATGAGTGCATCTGCAAACCAACCGCAGGCCTACATGCTAATCAAAGAAGCATTAGTGTGCGGAGTACATAGCTCCAGCGCTACCAGCACCGACTGTAGCACACGCCGCTTCCAAGTTTCCTGCCACCACTTTCACCAAGTTCGAAGGCACAACAAGTCCGCAACTCGCTCTTTGACAACGGTTCATTATGGGACTAGTATGTAAATCTACAGGTAGTACCTCGAGCTCAAACGACCCTGCGATGCGCACACATGCTAAACGTACAAGAACAGAAACTCCTCCCACTCTTTTCAAACGCCGACTAAACGCCAACGTGATTAACGAGCATCCATGGATACTTCCCTACGATCATAAGAGAAACGTGACAACAATAGTAATAAGAACGCTTGAAGATGGCAGACTCGGACAGTCCCCCCCAAACCCGAAGCCGGTACCACAGTCAGAGCAAGTGACGAAAAAGCAACCTGCATGAGATGGTATCACAAGCCAAGCAGTGAACCCGAAAGCAAGGAGACCCGCACGCATGCATGCAAGCAAAACATAAACAAGAACCTCTTTCTCTTTTTCACTTCCTCTTTCCTCGCCTGCTCACACACGGTAATAATCTTCTATCATGGACAAAGTGCTTGCAGACACCGCTCTAGCGCGTTCCACCTCCGACGCATACGCGAACCGGTATACGCCAAACGGACTCTTCTTGAGCGTACTACTTCCCACGCTCACAGTACGCTGTTTTGCAGGCTGCTGTTCGAGATCCAACTAGAATCGTTCTCTTGATCCGTTGCCGTGGTTCTCGAATAGATCGTCTAGATAACCACTGGGAGTGCGGCCGCCAGGGACATTCGTGCCGCCAGGTACATTCAGCGACAACTGACTTACGGCGTGGCCGTCTTGGCCGTAGATGCTTCTCGTATTACCGGGTTGGCCGAGAGTTGCAACGCTGTTACGGTTGTATACAGATAGGCCGTCTCGTGATGGTGGCGCGCGAGCATATCCTCCGCGTGACGGTGGCAGTGATGGCGATTCCGGTGGTGACATACCAGATCTTGCGCTAAATCGGTTTCCTGGGGTGGAGAGGGAGAGCGCTGAGAGATTATTGGGGTTCTGGCCTCCAATGTGCATCTGTGGTGATCCAGCAGCAGGGGCTGCGTTACCAGATGCGTAGTATCCTGCAGGAAGATAGGTAGAAGATCGGGCCGCTACAGAATCCCGCAAACCGGCGGCGCCACCTGCAGTTGGAGAGAAGAACAAGGTCGATGCCGATTTCTGTGCTGCAGGCGCACCAGCGAAAGCTTTCGACGACTTGCCAATGGGGGCGGCGTTTAGGTGATCCAGAGACATGGTCGAACTCGCTCCGACCACATTGTACATTCCCCGCTTCTTACCAGGCACTGCTGACATGGCCTTGATATCAGCCATGTTCTGAGCCATGGCCGCCCGCTTGACAGAACGATGCAACGACCACGCAACGAGACCGCGCCACGCCAACACCGCCGCACCGAAGAAGGCGAGAATAGCACCGACGCAGATGAAGACGGTTCCATCTGGAAGATCGGACTTTTGCATAAAGGCAGCACCGGCTGTGTCTGGGACTTTGACATCCGGGATACCGATACCGGCCAGCGTTGGCGCACCTACAAGATTGAACACACTCGTAGACCCTGTCTGGGCAGCCGTACTAGAGGGCGCATCTCCTGTTGTTGCGGCCTTGGTGGTCTCGGAGGTGGCGGCTTGCGATGTGGTTGCAGCCTCTGAAGTCGCTGCTTGTGATGTCTCGGCGGCGGAGGTCTCGGCTGTGTTTGTCGCTGCGTCGCCTCCTGGTTGCGTGACAGTGGATAGGTCGGGTGCGTTCTCGATTTGAGCGAGTACGGTAGGAGCGACAACGAGCAGCAGGCCTGCGAGGCCCACAAAGGGTCGCATCGTGGGTTGTTGTGTATAGGTGTGTGCGGAGGTAGGGTCGCCGATGGGCAGTGTGCGGAAGGGGCCGAGTGGGTTCAGGAGATGGCGTGGTCAAGGCTCGCAGTCCAGCAGGCGTATTTCAAGACTCGATTGGTGAAGGAAAAGCAAGGAGAGGAAGACGCAATCGCAGGTGATATCGATAGGACAGAGAAGCGCCGAAACGAGTGACGGGGAACGAGAGGAAAGGCTGATGGTGGAGTGCAAGACGGGGTCAGGGTAACAAGGGGCGGAGTCGTGGACCCGCTGGCAATACGCGTAGTCTGAGCGCCCAGTTCGCGTGATGTCTGGCCGTATTCGATGTAGACTAGCGATAGGAATTTTATCGAAAGAGACAATAATTAGAAGCCGGTTGCTTTGCGCGATGATGGAACAATCCGCGTGCCAGGTCTGGAAGCAAACGGCTGTTGACGTCTGCACTGGTTGTCTGGCTCAGGGATGCAGGAAAAACATCGGTATGCAGGGCCAACGATGACAGATCCCAACCCAGGAACGTCGCTTCTATTCTGGGACCTGCTTGATTCGAGAGTTTAGGGCTTAGCGTCGAGCTCTTTTCCTCTGTCAAGCCCACCAATCGGCGCCTCGACCCTCTGACGGCCTCATTCTCTTGGCATCAAAAAGCTGCCGCCCTTATCGATAGCAAAAAGTGGTTTGCGAACAATCCACCAGCACCACACAACTGCGATCCTGACGACTGCGCGAGCCATTACTTTCACCCTTCAACGCTACATCGCTAGAAACGTAGCGAAACATAAGGAGCTTCATAGACGACTGAAGCTCGCCGACGAGGGTCCCAGGACCGCGTGCAACCATGGGTGTCGCGAAGAGAACGCGCAAGTTTGCGCAGACGAAGAGGATCGTTGGTATGTGTGGCGTCATGTCTAGATGAGCTTCTTTTAACACTATCAGGTCAACGAGATGCTCGACTGTATGCGATAACGCGCCCCACTGCTGTTTGCGACGTAAGAGCTGATCATACTGCAGTAAGAAGAATCAAATGGCTGGTGAGATAGAAGCAAAGAAGAAGGAGGATGAAAACAAGGCAAAGCGAGAAATGTATGTATCTCGGATTTCGATTCGAGTAAAGAGCAGGCACGACTGACACTTTACAGTCCACAAGTCTCCTCGGCCCTCTTCTTCCAAGCCAACACTGCCCTTGGCCCGCCCTACTCCGTCCTCGTGGACACCAACTTCCTCTCTCACACGGTGCACGCCAAGCTCGAACTCGACAAGGCCCTCATGGATCTTCTCTACGCCAAGGCCACTCCAATTATCACGACCTGTGTTATGGCTGAGCTCGAGAAACTCGGCCCAAAATACCGTATTGCGCTCAGGATCGCTCGCGACGAGAGATGGCAGCGCCTCAAGTGCGAACACAAGGGCACTTACGCCGATGATTGTATTGTGGACAGGGTCCAGAAACACAGAATCTACCTGGTCGCGACAAACGATAGGGATCTCAAGAGGCGCATAAGGAAGATTCCTGGTGTGCCCATTGTTAGCGTTGCAAAGGGCAAATACGTTATCGAGAGGTTGCCAGACGTGCCTGATAGCCATTAAGCTGGGGCCAAGGATAATGCGAATAGGGCCAAAATGGGTTATATGCATAGCGAAAGGCGTTCAGGTCATATCAAGCAGTCGATGCTATCTCAACAAGTATTTCCACAATCATCGAAAGAAAGAATGAATCATCAGCTCGCATGTGGTTTCACAAGCAATCCGGAACCTTTTGATGTTTAGGTTCATTTGCATGTACGACGAGTGAAAGCTTGGTATGAACAATTTAAAATGCAGGATCTCGCAGCTACAGACATTCTATATGAGCGTCAAACACAGCGCTCAGCACAGCTACCACCGGCCGAGCACTGGTCTTCTGTCCAGCAATCCATGACATCTACGAACCGGACGCCTGCCCAATGCGAAAGCACCCTACTCGCTCAACAGTGCCGAACGCTCCAAACGAAGATGAAAAGTGATGAAGATGTAGAACAGTGAAGGATAAAGATACCGAAGAGAACAGCGCTCTCAGTACACGGAACAGCTTGTCTGGGCCCGAGTAAGAGCCTGCGTGAACATAGTCTGCATGGCCATGTAGTGGAAGATGATACCTCCCAGCACAGCAACATGCCAGATGTTGTGGGAGCAGCCTACGTAATCGAAGAAGCCAGGAAAGAAGCGTTCGGGCGTCTTGCTCGCATACAACAATGCACCGGTAACGTACACGAGCAAACTCTTAGTGACGGGCGCGTAGAAGTACTGTGCCCATGCGACGCCACGGGTATACGCGAGCTGGCCAAAGGGCAGGAAGCCAGTCAGGGCAAGGGAGCAGTAGAAGAGAACGCGGAGCCAGGCCATGTCCGCTCGATTGAAGGTCGGATGCCAGGGTAGAATAACACCGCCAACGCCGAGAAGTGCTGTTATGCACATGTATGACCAGCGGGAGACGGGTTCGCAGTAGAATGCGGCGTATTCAGTCGTCATGATAGATGCGGCGACGAGTAAAGAGATACCAGTGTAATCTACACAGGCGAAGCGTTCAAGCAATGTTTGGTGTGATATGCTGTTCATCGTGTGCCAAATGGTCGAACAAGCCAGGCATTTGCATGCCGCAAAGAAGAAAACTGCCGCAATGAAGATGTCGGCCTTGGTCGACATGCTGAAGTTGGCACTCGAAGGGTAGAAGTAGAAGGCAATGGCAAGAACCATGATGAATCCGAGGAGATGTGTCCAGATATTGATTAGCTCGTTGTGGAGGCCGAAAATGGATCGAACGCAAGCCCACTTTCCTTCTTGAAAACGGTAGCCCTTGAGGATATGTGGGTTGACTCGCCATGGCTCTGGTAGATCCTCGTAGTGTATCAGGCCGTGTGCTTTGGCTCGCTCTAAGGCCCGTTGGACGGCGTGCTCAACTCGGAGTTCAATCGTTTCACGCGCGCGTCGTGCCTTGTCTAGACCACCGTCCACAACACCCTTTGCGATCTCGATTCCCTCGTCCATCTTTCTCCGACCTTCCTCATAGAATTCCTGTGCATAGGAACCGATCGATCCGTCTCTTATGGCGTATGCGCGCGTCTCAAACTCGGTCAGATAGTTGTCCATAAGCACTATTCCTTCCAAGACCTTCTCTCCTAGGGTCTCTTTCCTTTCCATCGCATCTTTGTAACGGCCCTCCAATGTCTCGACGAATACGGAAGCCTGTCGTCGTCCGGCCTCGATTGCGCCATCGGATATCTTCGAGCAGGATTCGCGAACGGCAAGCAAGGTGTTGTATGCGTATTCGACACCGGCGTCGTACTTGACGTGGCCATAGTCTTCCAGGAAGTCCATCCGGCAATTGAGTTCGACCAAGAAGTTTCGAAGCTACATACTCGTTAGTAAATGGTAAGCGCATACGTACTGGTTCACTTACCAACAACTGGAAGTTCTCTGCTTCCTGCATGCAGGGTCGTGTATGCCATGAGTGACGTCTTTGGCGTTGCGCAGGTCTCTGGGGAGCGATTGTGCCGTAACCTCGGTACGTGGGTTGTATTGGCTCTTCTTGTGAAGCCATAACTGCTGTGCTTACCCCAACGCTCGAGTTCGAGCGCGGCATGCGGGGCATCGTTATATAAGTCTGGCGCGAAGCTGCGCGGGGCTGTTCGAGGCGTGGCGATCTTTCTCGTTCGACGTTCCAATCGATATCGGGCCCAAATTACGAGGGTACAGCAAGGCGCGGGGAGGTAAGACGATTGGCTGGTAAGCGCATGTGCACAGAACGTCTCTCTGGCTGGGTGACCGCCTCTGCTTGTGGTGTTGGGAAAGATAAATAGTGAGGATGTGGGTCTTTTTCTCCGCCTATCGGGGTGACTAGCAACGGGCGTGGTTGCCGAAAACGTCTTGGTTGGACAACACAGTCCTGATGGGGCGAACAACTAGAGGGAGCAATGTCTTCTTGTATTTTACAGAATGGGGTCGAAGCAAAGGCACGGGAGAGTCAATTGAGTGCGTAGCGTACATGCATGGGGTCCGAGTGTTGGCGTCGTCATGGGGCTACCGCGGTCAATTCACTGTCGGGTTCCTGACAGTAGGACCCTTTATTTCTGCGGCTCTTGTAGGGCTGACATGCTGCACTTTTCAGGTGGCAGTGAAGGACTCCATCCAAAGTGTCTGTTCCGTCTCCTTTGACACAGATATCGCCCAGGATACTCGTTACACAGCAGAAATGAAAACTTGACGGTTCATGTTTGTCCGGCTCGAACACTGAGGCCGTCGACGGCCTCGCCTATACCGGCAGGTGCGTTGCTTGGTGGCTGAACCCGGCCTTGGCAATGAGCCACACGTGGCTTGATTTCGTCATCGCGTGCCGTCATCCCGAGGTGTCAAAACTTACGACCTTTGGCGGAGCAGCGGATGGTTGATACCAGGCTATAGACCGTGAATGCTTCGTTTGTATTATGCTGTGTAACTTGCTTTGGGCCGCACGCATGTTTAGGTCCAGACGTTCCCACGTGCTAGCGTCAATGTCCGCGGTCTCCGCGGGATGGGGCTATTGAAACCCAACGCTCATCATCTTGGCATTTAATTTTTTGCAGCACGTTGGAGTGATACACCAAACTATCGACTTTTCGAAATGGTACTCCAAGCTATCAAATACTCGCGCGGCCAGCTCGAGATTCTCGACCAGCTGAAACTACCCCACGCTGAAGAATATGACGGCATCTACTCCAGCACTGATGCATGGCACGCAATCAAGGATATGCGAACGCGAGGAGCGCCAGCTATCGCCATAGTCGCTGCTCTCGCTCTCGCAGTTGAGCTCACAAACACGAAGCTTTCTTCAGTAGCAGAAGAGGTTAAGATTTTCATTACAGAAAAGCTGGACTACCTGGTAACGAGCAGACCAACTGCCGTCAACCTTGCAGACGCAGCTGGCAAGCTTCGAAAAATTACCGAGGAAGCTGCTGCGAGTGAGGGAGCGAGTGGAGAAGCTGTGAGAGAAGCATATGTTGCCGTTGCCGAGAAGATGTTGGTCGACGACGTGAGCGACAATGAGAATATCGGCAAGCATGGCGCGGAGTGGATAATGAAAAATACGGAGGCAGGAAAGAAGGGACCTGTGAGCATGATGACACACTGCAACACCGGGTGTGTACGATTCTGCATCAGAGATTTTCAAATGCTAATCGTACAGATCCCTCGCAACTGCAGGATATGGTACAGCGCTTGGAGTGATCCGATCTCTACATGCCAATGGATCGTTGAAGCACGCCTTCTGCTCTGAAACGCGACCATACAACCAAGGCTCCAGACTGACAGCATTTGAGCTGGTCCACGACAAGATACCGGCAACTCTCATCACAGACTCCATGGCCGCAGCGCTACTCCGACTACGGGGTGGAAGCGAGAATATTGCGGGTATCGTGGTTGGCGCTGACCGAGTGGCCGCAAATGGTGATACTGCCAACAAGATTGGAACCTATTCATTAGCCATTCTTGCAAAGCACCACGGCGTCAAGTTCCTGGTTGCAGCACCGAGGACTACTATTGACCTGAAGACCAAATCGGGGTCAGACATCGTCATCGAAGAACGCCCCGGGAAGGAAGTGACGCTCGTCAAAGGACCGAGACACGATGGAGTCACGCTAGATCTTGGTGTTGTTGAGACTATCAGTATTGCAGCCAACGGCATCGGCGTATGGAACCCAGCTTTTGACGTCACACCTGCAGAACTTATTGATGGTATTATCACCGAGGTAGGTGTGGTTGAGAAGGACAGCAATGGAGTGTTCCATTTGGATGAAGTCTTTAAGATGAAGAGTTCCGAAGTAAAGCCCTCGACTGTCGGTGGCTTGTGAACAGGTGCCCAAGAGCACGTACAAGCGCATGATATGCCCCCTTAATGCTAAGACTCCAACATGTCCATTCTGCTAAGAGCGCATTGATCATGCTTGTATCCATCCTCGCTCGTGTCATCCATCATGCTCATGAGAACGAGGGTACTCGGTCGTTATTCTCGTAGTATTCACGGCGTGCTTGCAATATATCCGACCCAGAGTTGGTGCAGGGTGTACATGGTTCATATCGCAGAGCAGACGCATGGCTTTGTAGATCTTATTTGGAACCCTTTTCTTCGGTTCCGGAAGACTTGTCAGGATCTTCCGGAGTATCTTTCAACTCCTGCTCGGCCTTCTCGGCTTGCGCCAGGAGTGCCTCAATCTTTTTCTCAATAGAATCGAGGTGGCTCTCCAGGGCGGCTGCGGTCTGTTCGCCTCGCTGCAGTTCCTTGAACGCCTACCCGAGCTGTTAATTCCCAAAGTACAGCGATTGCCACAAAACTCACTTGGGCAAGATCAGCCTCGGAATGCGATGCAGCACCTGCGCCGTTCTGTGCGTTCGACATGATGAAGATGATGTAAGAGTAGTGGATGTCGGGTCCTGGTGCTTACCGACGAGGCAAGCGCGTCCTCGAAGATGACGACTGAAGCACCTTAGCGCGAACTTACCCTGGGACCTCCAGGGCTGCGCGAGCAGCACAGACTCTCAACCTCCCTCATTACACCTTTCGCCATTCCCGCCCGTACGCGCTCCTTACATCTTTCTAGTTCCTGCACCGCATGCGCGCATCTCCACTGCTCTAATCGACCCGCGATAACTCGCCCGCCATGTTCTCTGGGTCCAACTCGTACTTAGGGGGTGGGAACAGTGCCCGACCGGGGCAGCCTCAGTATGGGCAGCAGCAGCAACAGCAGCCCTTCCAGCAGCCTGGAGGCTTTCAGGGTGGATTGGCACCTCAGCCGACGGGATTCGGAGGAGCTCCAATGCAACCACAGTTTACTGGCTTTCCGGGTCAGCCGCAGGGCTTCGGACAGCAGCCAACGGGCATGCAGCCGCAGTACACAGGCTTCCCAGGGCAGCAGAACCAGCAGTTCCAGCAGCAGCAGGCTCCCCAGCAGATGCCCTTTCAGACTGGCGCGCCGCCGCAACAGCAGCAGCAGCAACAGCAACAACCGCCTGCTCAACCGCAACGGCCGCAGCCCACAGGCATGACATCGGCGCAGATGGCTGATTCATTCCGCGGCAGCTCTGCGTCTTCAGTGCCACCACCCGTTCCTGCCAAGACGACCAAGATCCCGAATATACGGCTGTCCTTCATCACGGCGCAAGACCAGGCCAAGTTCGAGCAGCTGTTCAAGTCGGCTGTTGGGGATGCCCAGGCTTTGTCCGGAGACCAGGCGCGGGACCTCTTGATGCGCTCCAAGCTATCTGGCGATGCGCTTTCCCACATCTGGTACGTTCAGCAACTTGCACCCATAATCCAGTGCTAACAAACATAGGACCTTGTCGGATACGACCAAGTCCGGCCAGCTCCTGTTCCCCGAATTTGCGCTCGCCATGTACCTTTGCAATCTCAAGTTGACTGGCAAGGACCTGCCGAACTCCCTCCCCGAACGAGTCAAGAACGAGGTCTCTAGTATGGTGGATATCATATCGTTCGGAGTCGGCGACGATTCGTCAAGCCGCCCAACACCGGCGAGCAATGCCCCGAAGTTCAACGAGCCTCCTACAATCCAGCAGCCCCAGCCCCAGCCATCGAACAGCCAATTGTTGAATACGTTGGTCACGCAGCCGACTGGATATGGACAGCAGTCAATGGGCATGCAGCCACAACCTACAGGTTTCGGACAGCAGCCGACTGGTATGCAGCCGCAGCCCACTGGCTTTGGACAGGCTCCTGGTGGCTATAATGGACCACGTCCACCGATGCCTCCGATGCCTACCGGCTTTGGCTCAAACCTCGCGCCTAATCAGACCGGCATGGCACCTCTCAATGCGCAGCCAACCGGGATGCCAGGTCAGTGGGGTCTAGCCAATACCCCAGCCACTGGATTGCCAAACATTGAAGCTTTGGCGCAACGAATGATGCCTCAGACTGGCCGGGAGGGTGGTAACCATACGACTGCCGGTTTGACTGGTAACGCCACGATTCCCTGGGCCATTACGAAAGGAGAGAAGAAGCTGTATGATGATACTTTCCGAGCCTGGGATGGCATGACCAAGGGCTACATCAGTGGAGCGCAAGCCCTCGAAATTTTTGGACAGAGTGGACTGCCCAAGCCAGATTTGGAGCGCATTTGGACCCTCGCCGACTCTTCTGACAGAGGTCGTCTCGACCTAGATCAATTCGCGGTTGCCATGCATCTGATCTACCGTAAGCTCAACGGCTACCCCATCCCCGCTCGTCTCCCTCCTGAGCTGGTGCCACCATCTACGCGCAACATCAATGACTCTATTGGTGCGATGAAGAACTTGCTACGTGGAGATGCCGAGGACAGGAAGAACTCTGGTGCTTTCCTTCAGCCTCAGCGCACTGGTGTTAGCTACCTAAAGTCTCACTCGTTCCGCGCTGGTAGTCCGCAAGCCGGTGGCCGAAAGGATGCTACAGTTTTCCGTAACAACGACGATAATGTAGGATACAAGTCGAGCGCTAGACATCGTCTTGGTGGTGGCGGTCGCTCGCCTTCCCCAGCGCAGCCGGCTTCTCCTTCTTCAGAGCGATCTGATGAGATGTCA